AAAGAGACGCCCGCTGCTGGCTTCCAGCCCGCGGCCCAGCCCGAACTGGACCAGACCGCCGTGAGAAAATAAAAATTGGCACCAACCGCACACAGTCCAGTTAAACGTTGGCCGGTTCAAGGTCGGTTCGGGCCGGTCCGTGATCATGTCTACTAATAATAATTAATTAAAGGAGAGTCACAACAGTACAAAAGTGAATACTCCATTAGGACGTCGAAAACATCATTCATTAGCTTTCCTAATATTAGATACTTATTAATCTGTCTCCACAGTTAACAGCAAGTCACAAACACATATCAATACACGTCAACGAGAACGCTACCCATTGGGCACGCCATCCAATTTCAACTCACCAAATTCAAGTCATTCAAAAGATCCATATCCATCAAATTAGAAAAAACTGGCAAAAATATCACACAGCACTAACACTAACACGCAAAGGTTTCCTGTAATACTGCAGCAGGAGCGAAGAGCAAACCACGCTTATAGATGAGGCCGCCATGCATGCTCCTGCGAGCCACGGCGGCAGGCGGATCCCCGTGAAGGGGTAGAGAAGCCCTGCAGCAACTGGCATCCCGAGCACATTGTACCCAAGAGCCCACACGTAGTTGATTCGTATTCGGGACATTGTCTTGCGCGAGAGGTCTATGGCAGTCGCCACATCCTCTAGACAGCTCTTCATCAGGACGATGTCAGCAGCCTCGATGGCCACGTCAGTGCCGGCCCCGATTGCCATGCCGACATCAGCGGCGACCAGTGCCGGCGAGTCGTTTATCCCATCTCCCACCATTGCCACGCTCGTTCCTTGCAACTGATTTAGGAAAGAATGAAAATGGGATAAGATTATCGAATGAAAGGATTGTCTGGTCTGGTTCCAAATTAGAGCTGCAAATGAACCGAGCGGCTCGCGAGCGGCTCGAGCATGTTATCGAGTCAATCTCGAGCATAGGTTTTGGAAATACCCCTTATATATAAAATATTACAATATTTTATATATGTACTTAATGGTAATTTTACTTGAAATTTGTCGAACTCGAGCCAAGTTCGAGCAATCTTTTGAGCATTTTGATTTCAATCGATCTTGAGCCGAGCTCGAGCAATTGTCTTCTTTTGTCGAGTCGATCTCGAGCTCAAAAAAAAAAAAAAAACACAATCTTGCTCGATAAAGCAAATGCTCGACTCGGCTCGCCTCGTCTCGTTTGCAGCCCTATTCCAAATGGCATGAAAAGTTACAGATGGAACATAATGAAGGTTTGCAAGAACTTGTGCTCTTAGAGGAAGTGATTTTATTATGGTGCTTGTGAATAGATAAAGAAAAGTTTAATCAAGTAGAAGGAGGTCTTAAGAAGGATATACGGTGAGGAAAATGCTTTTACCTGCAACTCTTTTATCTTGTCAGCTTTCCCGAGTGGGTCAGTTTCGGCAAAAACTTTGTGTATGCCCGCCTGATTAGCTATTGCATTGGCCGTAGCCCAGTTATCACCCGTGACCATGACACTCGAGACGCCCATCGAATGCAGGTAAGATACGACGAGAGCGGCTTCGGGCTTCACAGGGTCAGTCACTGCAAAAGCCCCAGCGGGTCTTCCTTGGATGGCAACGAGCGCACATGTACGAGCCAGACGCTCGTTTTCTGAAACGTATCTGTCCACCTCGCCGCCAAGCGGGACGTCAAATAGCTGCATGAGTCTTTTGTTTCCGACCAGGATTTCTCTTTCCCCAATTTTGCCACTCACCCCAGCTCCAGGATGGACCTTGAAGTCAGTCACCTCGGTGAATTGGTCGTGGTGGGACCCGTGCTTCTGAAGTAATGTTTTCGCGTGCTCCACCACAGCTCTTGCTATTGGGTGCTCACTATTTGCCTGAAATTTTTAGAATCTATCAGAACCATCAAAACTTGAACGCCGCTTTTTTTTTTTTTGTTATTATTAACATGTCACAGCTGCGTGTTGCTGTAAAGTTGGTCATGTTACAATAAGCATATCATCAGAGTTCGCCTGCTTGAATTTTTCAAATAATTCCATTACGAGGTTTCTGTCCCTAGTTTCTTTTGACGAGCTAGCACTGGCAAAGTTTGTATATACTCTTTCAAGCAATTGTTGCAATTAGCTTACCTACTTACTCTCTTAGCACACTATCATCAGAAATTCAGATAAAATATAGTAACATATCAGAATTAAGAGAAAACTCGCCTCAGCAGCAATAGTCATGTCACAAAAATCTTCCATTGGCACATCGGAGAAGAGCACGGAACTAACAACAGCTGGTTTTCCAGATGTCAGTGTTCCGGTTTTGTCAAAGACTACAGTCTTAACCTGAATGCCCAAGGTAGAAATTCATTATCACGGTATTTTGATTGGTCTCTAGAGCATAAAGAAGCAGATATATGAATAGTCACCCAACCAACCAAAAAAAAAAAAAAACTAGAGAACTTACCTTATGTGCTTTCTCAAGGGCAGTTCCACCTTTAATCAGCACACCTAGAGAAGCACCCTTCCCAGTGGCAACCATTACTGCAGTTGGAGTTGCTAACCCAAGGGCACAAGGGCAGGCCACCACCAATACAGAAATACCAAACTGCAAGGCGAACTCAAATGCATCCATTGCCGTGGGTATCCAGGCCTTAGGGTACAACCCAGCTACTCCAGGAATAAACCACCCCAGCCATGTCAGAAAAGCAGCTAGGACAACCTGACACAGAGAAGCAATAACATAATTTCATATGGTACCAAACTCCTTAATCTGAGATTTCAGACCATGGCTAGAGGAGCTACCAGGCTTTCACGACACTTGTTTTTTTTTTTTCTTTAATTCTCGAGATTATTCAGAATAGGAAGAGAAATACCTGTTTTACGGGTGAAAATCTGTTTGCAGTTTATAAAAAAATTTACCATTGTGAAAAAAGAATGGAGTAGTATTACTTCAGAATCACTCAATGATTAGAAGAACACAGAGAACAACCATTTTTTATTATCATGTAACGCTAGTAATACTAGTTCATAATTACACAACCAATTCTTAGCACATGATGGTAGTACGTATACTATCCCTAAACTGTTAAATCTCCTCAGTTTTTATACAAACTAAAAACCAAGCTTGCAAAATCCTCTTTCAGATGAACACTATACTATACTAGCTACAAAGTTAAATTAAAAGGAGTAAAACAAGAAACTCACTGTTGGTCGTAAAACTCTCTTACATATTAAGACATCGGACACAATTAACATCAAAAGGAGTAAAACAAGAAACTCACTGTTGGTACGAAGAACTTAGAAATTTGGTCAGCCAATTTCTGAACAGGTGCTTTGGCAAGCTGAGCAGCTTCAACCAGTTCAACAATCTGCGATAAGGCTGTTTCTGAACCTATATGAGTGGCCCTAACACGTATACACCCATTCTCATTCATTGTCCCACCAATCACCTGTTGATGCAAAGTAATGTTAAGGTCCAATGGATATACTTTCAAACTGATAAATAATTTTACCTTTTAAAAAAAAACTATATAGCAATAATCTTACCTTATCGCCAGGTCTTTTAGCTACAGGCAGAGCTTCTCCTGTAATCATGCTCTCGTTCACATGGCTTTGACCATCAATAACAACTCCGTCAACCGGAACCTTCGTCCCAGGAACAATCTTTAGAACGTCATTCTTTTCAATGAGTTGTGTATCGATTTCAGTTTCAGAAATGACATTTCCTTCAGCATCTAGAGTTAAAAGACAGGCTGTATCAGGTGCTAGTTCTGATAACTTTGCTAATGCATCTGATGTCTTCCCCTTCGCCAAAACCTCCAGGTATTTGCCCAAAAGAATGAAAGATATTAACATAGAACTAGTTTCAAAAAAGTCCTGTCCCTCGAAAGAATCTGAAGTCAATGCTTTTAACATGATGTATACAGAATAGAAGTAAGCAGCATTAGTGCCCAAGGCAACCAGAACATCCATATTTGCAGATTTTCGCCTCAGGGCATGATATGATCCTGCATAAAACCTGAGAAGGTGATTAGAACCTACTACTTAAAATTCCATAAATTTGTACTAACCATAATAACAATAGAACTTCAGAATATTTCCCTAGGAAAGAGATATGAGTACCTTTTTCCGATGATAAACTGCACAGGCGTGCAAAGGATCCATCTCAAAAGCATCCCAAGATCAAGCATGTTTATAACCTTGTAGTTCAGCCAATTCCCATAAGGAGGGAGCATTGGAAGCACCATAGAGAAAACAAATATAGGAACTGAAAATAGATAACTCCACATGAATTGATTCTGATAAACACTAATTTCGTGCTGCCTCTCAGCCTCTCCTCCTCTTGGTGGATTGTAAAGAGTTGCTTGATAAGAGTTGGGTCCACTGCCAGCTTCCTTGATGCACTGTATTAAAGATCTTGGACCTATAATATTTGGTTCATAACTTATGGTCACTTTATGCTCCTCCATATCTAATTCAACGTGATTAACGCCTTCCAAAGACTCGAGTGCGCCTTGAATGGCAGTAAAATCATCTGGAGAATTGATTCCTTCCAGCTTCAGATGAACTTTGCTCAAGTCATTGCCAGTGCTTATAAGTTCAGCTCCAAATCCAGCATCTTCTTCTACTGCTTTAAGAATGTGGTCAGTACTGGTGATGTTTGGATCGAAATGGACTTTGGCTTCTCCAAGAGCTAAACCAACCACGGCTTTTTTCACTCCATCCACCATTGATAAGGCACGTTCTACCGACTCTGAGCAGCTTGTGCATGCCATTCCTTTAATTCTGACCCTGCACATGGCAATGTCTTGCTCAGGAAACTCCGCAACTTCAAACCCCGTGTCTTCCACAGCTTCTTTAATCATTTTAGCCTGAAATGTTGCACCATATACAGTTTGAACGAATTAAATCTTTCAGACACTGCAACTAATATAAAATGCACAAATGAACACAAAAATTGTTGTTGTATGATGAAACACTCCATCCTTGCATAAACAAACACGAGAGCATGTAGATACACCCAAGAAATTAACCAAGGGAAATAGCAATCCACTTGAAAAAAGATATGTTTCATTCCATCTGTATTTGTACTATTAACTTCATATTATCTTGAGTAATGTATACTAAAATTCAAAACATTTCATCAAAATTATAGATGAAATGAAACACCAATGACAATTTTTCTTACAACAACAACAACAAAAACAACAACATACCTTTTAATCCCAAACAAGTTGGGGTAGGCTAGAGATGAAACCCAAGAGAACCAATGGTAAGAGAAACACGAAAAGGGCTCAAAAACATAAGGAAGAGATTGGAGCAAAAGAGAAAGAAGTAAAAGTCACGGTTCTGGCACGTTGATTGCTAGTCTACAACTTGGGCAAAAAAACCTAAGACGACCAGTAGTACAGAATAAAAAAAAAGAAAATAATAGAGAAATTTTGAAGTTGACTTACAGTGGCAACTTCTGGCACATACTTCACAACAGCCTGACCTTGAAGCACAGACACCATTACACTCTGCACGCCGTCCAGTTTTCCAAGAGCAGCTTCTATGGAGGCCACGCAGGACGCGCACGTTATACCAAGCACTTTGAAGACTAGAGTCCTTGTTTTCTTGCTCAACTTGTGATTAGCAGGCGAAACATTGATGACAACATCGTTTGGATGCTGCAAAAGCGGCGCCTTCAGCTCGCCGTTCCCATTTACATCCATATTTTTTTTGCCCAATAAGCACGGAATTAGTCACCTAATAGAACAGTTGAAAGCTTTAATCTTTATTCAGTGTTGGTCTCGAAATACCTAATGCAAACACAGAGAGATAAATTTTTATTCAGTGTTAACTTAAAAGGGAAAAAGATGCAGAACCCATTAAAATTAACAGAAAAAACAAGAGAAAAAAGGACACGTGATCAGACAGAATCCCTATTCGCGATTGTATGGAAAAAGTTCACGGGAGGCGTTTTTTTTTCTTACCCTTTTCTTCTCCGACTCTCGGGAGCAAAATTGTTCCGCTCAGGTACAGTTAAGGAGGGAGATGGCGGCGGACGGCGTTAACGATTGGGGCGGCGCTGAAAAATTTGGGGGACTTTTTGAATTTTTGAAAGTTACCCTTTCACAAGCCATCTTCTCTCTTTATATATATGTGCTCTGCAAGAGTACCTGCTTTTTTTTGTTCTTGTTGCTTCTCAAAGACCGAAACTTTGGGACCCTTTTTTTTTTGTTTTCCTTTTTATTTTTGATTTTTCGAATTTGTAAAGGGCACTGCCCAATTTCCCACCAAAAAATAAGGATTGCAACTGATCTCCATTGTTGATCGTGGGATGAGACCACGACAACGACCCTTCCAACAGTGAGCCCATTCTTTTTGTTACTATGATGATGTTACTGATTTCAGTTGAAAGTCCATGCCTACTTTATGATAAACGGTTTTGCTGTGGAGCCATTGGAGTGTTTGACTTATGAAGTCATCTATAGGTATTCACAAGTGGTGTATTGACAC